CACCCACGTATGGTAATAATTGACCCCCGCGAGGGACGACTGCCAGCAATCCATTGACGAGAACGCGGCGTCCAAAGTGGCATGAATGGGAGACTGATCGCTGCATCCCACTCATGCAACTTTCACCCTTTGCGGGTGCCAATCGTGGCCAGCCCAGAGCATCTCAATTGGCATCTTAGGTGGGCACAACGGAAGCGCACAAGGGGCAAAAGCCTGTATTACTAGTACTCAACGTTGCAAGCGCAATGGCGGAGATCCGCGCCCTTTCCACATTTTCCCCAAGTTTGCGTGCACGTCTTTAGGTTTAGGGACGTGAGCGAACCACGCCACCGCTATCGTCAATTTGAAAAAAAGCGGACGATTCTAGAGCTGTATGCGAATTCCCAGACCATCCATGAAATAGCAGATGATCACGGACGGATTAAGCTGCCCCTAGAATTAGCTTGTGGATGGTCCACCCATCTGCAAACCGTGGAGAACATTGTTAGCTGCAAATGCAGACCAGGTCCATGGACGCCCATCGTTTGGGCCGCCCACAGCTCACGAACAGAATTCGGTACATAATACTCTGTATGAGGCGGGCAGCGATGTTCTTATACAATGCAACGCGCAGCGGCCTTGCCACTTTTTGGACACGTTTGTCGAGCACACTAACTGACCGTAATTCACTTATAGGGGTCTTTTAGACACCATCGGTTTGGAATTTTCAGGCAGTAACACAACCACCCTGCGTAGTTCTCCCTCGCACGCTCGACAGCCCAGTTCAAAGGCTTACATGTGAAGCAACTACAACAGGCAAATCCACCAATATGAACACAAAAATCTCAGCGTTGGGCTCCCCTATCTCCTCAGGATCTTGGGGTTCGCTGCCCGCAGCTGTCGCACCGTTGCCGCAAAGTATGTCTTACAGTTGCCAGCCTATTGGTCCAGCACCTTCCCCCGCCTGGCGCCACGACCCGGGCACACAGGAATGGGTCGCAACTCTTTCCTCCCCACAAAACATTGGACGAAAATACGACACTCGTTTTCAACATTACCATCACAACGTCCCAGTTATATCCCCAGCCATCCCCTTACTCAGTAAGGCTTACTGTATCAAGGTTACCTCAGACCAGATTTACATCTACACGATCAGCATTCTGTACCGCCTTCCGCCAACTTGACAGGTTATCAACATCTTATTGAATGATGCTGTTCACTACTTTCAAATCCCAAGCGATTCCTGCCAGCCAGTCATATACCGCCTGCATGGCTGATCTTCCATTGGTATCTGGCTCCAACGCAGCTCTGTACTGTAGCATATCAAGCTGATACCGCAGCATGGATTCCCTCAGGCCTACCCACATTGACTCCAGCCTGTTCCCACGGATCCCAGGCGCATGGACAAGGGGTTGCTGTGCGTAGCCCCTCCAAACCGTGTCCGTCGAGGCCAGAAACTGGCTGACCTCCTTGCGTGCCATTTTCTCCACCTCTCTCTCGATCCTATACATGGCATTGATCCAAAGTATTGCCTTCCGAGCCCTCACTAATTCGCCTCAAATTTCCTTCAGCTCCTCAAACAGCTTAAGTGGCATTCTCGTCAGAGTTGTCCAGCTTCCGTCCATTTTTTCACACAACTCGGCAATCTCCTCCTCCTCTCACACTCAACTGGCAATCCCTGGCGGCGTTGCCATCCTTTCTGATTGAAATCGACCAAGGTCTCCCGATGACCAAACTGCTCGTGGCCTCCCACCAACGCTTGCACGATGTTTTTCCATAACATCATCCCCTCAATTTGTCGGCAACAATGTGATAGCTCAAGTCACGTCATTTATTCGTGAAGCAAGCTTCCTTAACGCTGTTATTGAGTCCAATCAGCACTTAGCAGTGCACATTGACACCGGAGTGCCCAAGTGCTTGCCACCAACGCTTAACTGGATGAGCCATGTCAGTTGACAACCACTATAGTTCAGGCAGTTGTCACATTAATTTCTTGCCTTGTCACAACTTTCTCTATCCCCATACCGCCATGTCAGGCTCCAAAGCCTTATGCTGTCATAAATTGCTTTTTCTATCACCAAAACGTTACACAACATAATGATACCCGCCCAGCCTTGGAACCTTATGTGGTGTTTTTGCCGCATGGGTCTCATCACAGCCCTCCTCTCCGCCTCAGCGTCCATACAGCCGTCTAGCTACTATACTACCCTAGGGCTATTTGGACAGCATTGCCATGCCACCAATAGTACGTTCAGCTCCTGGTTCACCCACTTGAGGCAGCTCCACTCGGGGCCCTCTACGCAGCCAATCTCGCACCTCTAACCGGACATGGTACTGGGTCATTTGCCGCCTGCCCTCCTCTGCCTCCTGTACATCAACACGTGCCTGAAGGGCAGCTGGCGTCAGCTCACCAGCCAGATTACCCTCCTTTCCCAATTTGCTTAACCTCTGAAATCCCTTAAAGAGCACAGAATGCTCCCCATTCTCAGCCAGAAAATTATCAAAGTTGATGTCCTGTCGAGCATTATCAGAATGGGCTTTGAGAGCTTTGGTTCTTGATACCTCAATTTTCCTTGTAACCAGTGTCAGCGCCACTTCCAGAACAGAGAGTCTTGGGGCGTATTTTTGTGGTCAACATTGAGATGATCCATCAAATCTCTGAGGGCATCAGAGATTGACAATTCAACAACAAATTGAAAGTATGGTTTCATAACTTTCCAGCTAGCTTCTGGGATGCTAACCAAACTGTGTCCCTCTACAATGTATTCAGCCAGTTCTTGGCTGAATTCAAATTCTTTTGTATTTCTGCATTGCTCTTCTTGCCACTTCTCCATGATGGCTTCCTTCAAGTTGGTGCATCATTGGCATGTTCTATCAACAACGTTGATGGTTGTCCCATCTGCATTGTCTGGGCCCAATGATTACCCTTCAACCTATGAACCTTCTCTTGTCGGGCGTCATCAATGTCATCCAAAATCCGCATGATGTCAGACCTTTCAAACCTAGCAGCTTCCGTGCGCCATCCATCCGTGAATGCTTCGCGAAGCTCATTTCGTTTAGTGGCTTAAGATGGCCCAGGATTCACTCCACCGTTTGACATAGCTGGTTGATGATGTCACTGCTTTGTTGATGCTTGGATGCAAGATAGGACCCTGCTAAGGGCTTGCAATTTTTCTGCCATTGTCATATTCTATTTTCAGCTCCTCTATACATAATTCAACACTTCCAAATTTGATAAATTATAAAAAGTCCTCACTTCATCTGCTTCCTTGACCAATTTTTTGAATGGCCCATATAGTGTCCCACAGCTGTATGCATGGGTTGCCCCATTTCTCATGTCTCTTGGTGCCCTTATCTGCCATCAATACTGGCATTGAGGATGAATGTTTCCATCCAATCTCTTGGTGATTTGTCAGAAAAGTACAGCTATATTTCATGGGCGTGCCAGGGCTCATTTCTTGTCTATATTTACAGCATTAGCGATTATGTCGCAAGCCCACAGGCTAGCCTAAGGTATCATACAGAAGTGATCTTGCAGTCAAAACAGGTTGGGTGTTATAGACAGACCGTTGCACTTTTTGCAGCTGTTACTGATGCTCTTTGGTCCGGCATTACAATCTCCCGCCCCCACGACATCACACCAGAAGCTTTCTGACTGGTCGGCAGGAGGCAGCCAGCGGTCCGCTTGCAATTCAAGCCTGTGGGCATCACCATTAGCCCAATTTGTCAGGCTGGGTGGCCTGTATTGGGATTTCGCTGATGGTCAGTCTGTTTAGTTGAGTATTTTTCTGATTCAGCCAGCCGTTGCCCCACTTCCTTGCAGCTGCAGCCTCTGAAACCTGTGATGCTCTCTCTCATGTTGTTTCCACCTGCTTTGCCCTTGATTTGAATCCTGGGTTGTCACATCATTGCATTTATGCTCCTCACGGGCAGCCATGCGACCGAAATACTAGTGGCGGTGATGGTCGATAATGTCTAACATTTATTGGCGACCCGAACATGTTTCAATTGCCCACGCCCACCACTCCTGCGACTGTGGGCTGCAATGGGGTGGGCATATGCTTACATTCGCTTCCGGTGCCGAGCAACGTGTTACCCAACTTTCGCCACCTCTGTACTGCCGGGATGGTGACTCAACCCAGTTTGCATGGTATCCATAGGCCGTTTTGCAGCGCAGCAACTCGAGCATCCAGGGTTGCCAGACTGCACGAGCAGTTCAGAGACCCTTGTGTCGCTGCGTTGCCAGTTTAACCGCCCCAGGGGCAATTTGTAGACGGCTTTCATGTGCAGAGCGGGCACCCAACGGCACTGCGACCTGGAGCGAATCCAGGTCCTCATGCTGCCAGCGAGAGCCATGATTTATTGGCTGCTCTATTAATCTTTGGCACCCTCTGTTGCTTACTATCGCTCCACAGAAAAAGGCCAAACGCTACGTTACCATCCAGAAGGGTTCAATATACTATGGTAATGTCACAACACGACAAGCTTCACGCATCACACCCCACATATCAGACCAAACTACATGAATCGATTGTCAGGTCAGCAAAAGGACTTCTCAAACTGCCAAATGTTGGCAAAAGAAGTGGCGTCAAATACACCCACATCTTCAGGGCATATGTCTGCTTCCAAACCGCCACAATGCATGCGATTTATATTCCGGAATGTACCACATCTAGCCTCTCCATTGTTTGTCGCAGGCACTCAAAACACCCCAGTTTGTTGAGGTTCCCAAAAACCATGTGTTTCTTCTTCGCGTCGTCACCAATGGCCTCAATGCAACTGCAAATACGCATGTTTATTCCCTTCAAGGTGATATGGCCCTTCACGTAGATATGACCAGACAGTCCACGACAATATGACCACCACGTTGCCCACCAAACAAAATGCATCTCCCTGCCCTTTCAGCTTTTCGCTCACTCACTCCTTTTCGTCATCACATGCTATCATTGCCATTGAACAACAGGACATTGTACACATTTCGTGGGCCAACAAGAACCTTCGGGTCAGCATCAACAATCTCGTCATGGAAGCAAGGGCTCAATTAGAGAAGATGGAGCACCTGGAAAACAATCGTTTGTAAGCTGCACCTAGTCTTAATGCCATGAGATAAGTGCATGCCAGTACACTGACAACATGTACTTACGGCATGGTGGCCCCTCATATGGGCTTGTTCTGTTCAGGCAAGAAGCCATGAACCATTCATTCTTCAGCAGAAGTTTGCAACTTGTGAAGACACTCAATGTGCTGCTCAGCAAGGTGCATCAGCAATTAGCACAGGTGGAACAGCTGTCAGTGGGTTGTGCAACTTGTCTATGTTAGATGCTGAAGCAAACAAAGCTGCGGAAGGAGGCTTCCACTTCAGGATAGAGACCACAATTGAGCGTCGCATTTCATGACCATCCGATGTTAGGGGTAGTGCTGAATTGTGATTGGGGTAATGTGATATCAGTTTCTTCCATTTGTACTTCATGCAGAGCCAATCATATCTTCAGGCAACATGGTGGCAGCACACTTCTTCATTTCATGACATTCTAGCATACAAAAGCAGTGCATGTGTAGTCCAGCAATGCGTTTCAGGAGGTAGAATATACGGTGTTCAAATTCACACACCAGCTGTCTGTATAAACTCGACCATGTAAGTGATCTGATCCGATCTGAACTGATCTGTCTCACGTCTGTAACTTTTGAAACCAACCCGTACACAAAATATCAAGGCAACCTGCCATAAAAGTGCCTAAAGAAGTGAGGATGCAAAAGCTATCGAGTCCAATCTGGAACTTAGCAGCATTTTCCAACTTACCTGCAGTTGCTTTTACTTGTTTTCTGACATGTTTGCTGAGCAAAGTGCCCTAGCAAGACTAAATCGGGCTTGGAAATGCAATCGCCATGAGGAAACTAACAAAAGCTGGGTTCCAAAGCTTTACCTCTTTGATGCAGAAACTGACCTGTGCCCAAGTCAAATCCCTTGACACAAACATATCCAAAACGAAAGAGTTGTGCTATCTCCCGCATTGTCATTCCCCTGGGCAAAGGACATCACAAAGGGTGGACAAAAAGCAAAAAAAGCAAGGATATAAGGCAAAATGCTCATTTTCATTCACTTGCAGCATCTTTCAAATGCGCACCAGTTCCTTCCCTGAAGCACGTGGTCATAAATGGGATTGATTTTGGTGTATATTATGCTCCTTTGCCTGGTACCAATGGACCAAAGAAATATGTGTATCTTGAGAATGATCAGCACTATACCACCAATATACAGCAAGACTCTTAAGGAAATCGTAGGTGCCACAAAGAAGGATGCGTCTCAGCTCGAATTGACTGAAATACTGTGCATCAAAAGGATTCACACAATTATGCAATTATGAGAGTGGGCATCACCAACAGTGTCAGAACATGTGTGCTCCTCTTTGCACTTGTTGAGGGCAAATCTTGACAGCCTTCATGATGATTCTGATTGAGGCTCCTTCACATGAAATCAGCATGGATTGCCAATCGCCTGGCAGCTAAGGTGTGCTCTGCTGACATAATGTGTGAAACCAACCCGTACACAAAATATCAAGGCAACCTGCCATAAAAGTGCCTAAAGAAGTGAGGATGCAAAAGCTATCGAGTCCAATCTGGAACTTAGCAGCATTTTCCTTTTGGTGACCGCCTTGACAGCATGGCCCAGTGTCATCATTATCATAATTGCGCCAGAACCCTTTCACTATAGCCTCTGTGGGTGTCTCTAGATAAGCCCCGAAGCAACAACATGTTCAAGATATTTATTCGCAAAGTGCTGACATGTGACAACCACTTACAATCGAAGTACACATCAAATTGAGTGGCGTGTAACAATGCTGGAAAATGGATCACAATCAATGCAGAAATCCTACCAGTTGATCAACACAGTAAGAAAAAAACCGTGGCCATTACAATTGGGAGCAAGGATGAAGCAATTGACCCCACAGAACAACCGTCAGCGACTGATGAGCACCAAGTCCAGTGCAGCGCTAGGAAAATCGGAGGTTTCAATGTGGCCATGGACCACCATGACTAGCCCACAATGTGGCTGTGCATGTGAATCACGATATGTATATATGGAGACATGCAATTACAAGGCTACCAAAGCTCCACCCCGTTGCAACATCAAGATAGTGAGTTGATTCACAGTTCTTCCTCATTGCAATAGCAAAGTGGGCCTACTGATGGAAGTACACATTCTCTAGCATCCATGCACAATGTGATAAAAGCAGGGATAATGCAATCAAAACCCAATAAAGTACAAAGTTTGCAGGGGATTTGGATGTTGTATGACACAAATGTGTATGTAAAAACTGCTCTTTCGCGAGCAATACACCATGCACTCAATTTTGTACTTCCTCCGTCCGGAATTAAATGAAACAATTTGTTGACTGACCACATTTATATCGTGTACTTTTTTATTTTTTCTTCAAAATTGGCCCGGCGTATCTACTACGTGTACAGTCAATGCTGTCAAAAATTCATCGACAACAAATAAGATTCAGACATATGGTAGTACTTTGAAGCCAAATGACTCAGCACCAGAATTTGAACATTCGCAGTCAGTCCCCCACCCTACCGAAACCCAGTGCCCTAGACCCAGGAAGGCCCAACGCACAAGTGATGCCTTTTCCAGTGGTCTTCAAAGTATCAAAAGGGGAAATTGCCTCGGCGCTTGGGCTTTAGCCTAAAGATCGACAGCCTTCGCAATGCACGATCGACAGAATTGGCACATACGTCTGCATACCGCCGTCGATGGATGCTCAAAATCCCTCCCATCTTCCATCACAGTACACCAACATGCCCGAGATCTAGATGTGGCCGCCCAACTTTTTTTTTGTTATTTTA